ATAACAATAACAACAACAACAACAATAATAATAATAATAATAATAATAATAATAATAATGGGCTGTTATTGATTTGTGTTTACACAAACAATAACAACAACAACAACAATGTGTATTAAATGTTATTTTTATTATGTAATTATGTTATTATTAATAAAATGTTATTATTATTATTATTATTATTATTATTATTAATGTTTGAGGAACATCAATACAGTTCTGCCTTTCAACAGTTTTAACTTTATTATTATTATTATCATCATCATCATCTTACAAAAATTGGTCACACTTTATTTTAAGGTCCAATTCTCGCTATTAACAAACCATTAACTATAACCTTTGCCTCAATAAACTCATAATTTGCGGATTATCAATAGTTAGTAAGGTAGTTGTTACGTTTAGGTATTGGGTAGGATTAAGGATGTAGAATATGGTCATGCACAATTATGTGCTTTATAAGTACTAATAAACAGCCAATATGATAATAATAGGCATTCTAATAAGCAAATAGTTAATAGTGAGAATTAGTCCCTAGACTAAAGTGTTACCCAAAAATTATATTCAATACTATTCTTCACTTTCACACATCATTTCAGTGTTCACAGGAAACTGAAAGAAGGCCTTGTTCAGGCAAAACTCTCTTCTGAATTAAAGTTGTCTTTGTTAAAAAACAAAACAAAACAAATCAAAAAATTAACAAAGACATGTAACATCACACACTGACTATCTTTGCTCTCTTCCGGAGACCCTAACACTGATTCACAAGTCACTCACACTACAGTCTCTCAACAAAACGCCAAAACATCCCTTTAACAAGTTCCTAAGACAGTATAATTGAAATGCAGTTTCCATCATGTCTGACTCTCCTCTAGTTCTCAACTACAAAGCCCAAGAGCAGACTTGATCTGTAATACAGAGAAGATACCAGAGCCTTGGGAGGGCAGAGAGCTCAGAGCAAAACAAGATGAATGTGTGCAGACCACTGGATATCTGTCAGAGCAGCTGTTGTACTTCACAGGGCCCTATTCAGAACTTTTCCATCTGAGGTTTACAGATTCAAAAAAAGAAGAAAATGAATTAGCTCTGTTCCAAAAGTGAGCTGTTTTGATATCAGAATCCTGCCTTTTAACCAAAAGAGAACCTCAAGTATGACTGATTTGAAATATTTTCCATCAGTATGGTCACTCAAACTACACACACGTAGCCCCCCTTACTTGAAATGCAAAAGATACTTGATTAACAGTAGAATTTGTGGTTAGCATGTTGCTATAATGACAATGCGCTAAAGCAAAACAAGCACACATACCTAAACTAGATATTCTATTAACACCTTTTAGAACTGAATAAAAAAACATTTCCCTCAAAGTATCTGCAATGCATTCTGGCTTTGTGGAAGGATATGTGTGAAAAATAGAGGTGTCTTAGAAGCAATCACAGTTTTGAAAACTATATTTTGAAACATCTTTTGCATTTAAAGTGCATTTATAAGGTCTAAAATGCCACCTAGATAGACAGCACACTAGATTTTGAAACACAGCAACAGTGTCTGGTTTAAGGATTTTTTTACAGTGTTAAGCTGCTGGAGAACATTAAAATCTCTGATGGAGATGTGATGACCCATGCAGAGCCAGGCTAATGGGTGGAGACTGTCTGCTAATAGTGTCGTTTACGCTGCACTTCCAAATGTCACCAGGCACTCCTGCAAAAGCCAATAGCCAGGCACTGACGTCATAATGAGGGACAAAAATTGATAAATGTCGATTAGGAAGCATTGACCTACAGCTTTAGGTCTGGGTGACAGACATGAGCAGTCAATTATAATTTTATTTCTGCTTGTCACTCTTCTATTCTCTGAGGAAGCAATGCATTCAGAAATGGCACAGCATATTTTAAGAACAGTGACTTGTGTATAAAATGTATGACATGCATTTTAGAAAACTTTACTACAGAAAACCATTATAAAACGAATAATTCTTATATATATATATATATATGAAATTGACCGAAAGTGCCAGTAAAGACATAGTTTTACAAATAGTTTTTTTCACTTTTTATCTGTGTGCATCAAAGAATTCTGAAAAAAAAAAAAATAATATATATATATAAAAACAGCACAACTGTCTACATTTGTTTCACTGCAGCGTTGCCAAGAAAACTGGGCTGGTGAACTTTTCTAGCTAAATTTGGCAAATCTGGCAATTATTTATGCTCACCAAGGCTGCATTTATTTGAGTAAAAATACAAATAATAATAATAATAATTATTATTATTATTCAAGTTAAATAACCTTTTTTCAATTTCAATATTTTTTATAATGCAATTTATTCCTGTGACGGCAAAGATGAATTTTCAGTGTCACATGATCTTTCCATAATCTTTTTAATATGTTGATTTGATGCTCAAGAAACATTCCTTATTATCATCAATACAGTTGTGCTGCTAAATGTTTTTGTGGAAACTTCAGGACTCTTTAATGAACATAAAGTAAATGTATTTACTGTCACTTTTGATCAACAGCTCTTTATATCTTCATATCATCGAAATAATACCTTTTATTTATAAAGTTCTTTTCTCATACCTAAAGCACTAGACACACTTTAGTCTCCCATTAGTATACTCTATTAGTAAACATGACTTCTGACTTTAAAATGTTCTGTCCTCCACTTTTCTCTTTTTATTTTAGTATTCCTTTTAGCTCTGCAGTTTTTAGAACTGGCATTGCATCCACCTTGCCTCCCTGTACCCAAAGCTCAATGACCCTGCCTGTGCAGTACTGTGCCTGATGGGCAGTGCTGCTCTCTCTCTCTCTCTCTCTGCATGCGTGTGTCTGCCTGGCACGCTGTCTTTAGCCGGTGTCAGTGGTGATGGCAGCCAGCAGCGTGTGGTCCAGCTCCTGTGTGACTGTGACTGGCCTCTGGCTCTACTCTCTCCACCCCACATTGCTCATTCCTCAGGGCTATTCTCCATCTCCCAGCATCCCCTTCGCCTGCCATGCATATCAATCACTTTAATGGGGGTGCTTTCAGACGAAAAAACACTCGGCTAAACTAAACTGGGTCAGTATCCTTTCATTGGTGACGCAGTTGAGGGGAGGGGAGGGGAGGAAGGAAACGGGAAAACGAACGATAGAGACTGACAGATAAATATGTAGATACATGGACAGATATTTGTATATATATACGAGTCATTAACCTGGATAGTTAAAAGCCACATCACAGATACAACGGTTAGTGTCTAGTTCTCTCAGAGTTGAGACATATCTACTCAGTACAGACTCCAAACATTAGTTTGTACTAAAATAAGATGAACATAATTAACAAAAGCTAAAGAGGTTAAGATGTTTACTACTATTCATGTTCAGGAACATGTCAAAGCAATAGTTATATTAGCATGAGTTTTAATTTTAATTTTTTGCTATTGGCAGCAGAATAAAAATTTAAAAAAACATTAGACCATTTTGGTCTAAACCAGGGGTAGGCAAGTTCGGTCCTAGAGAGCCGCAGTCCTGCAGAGTTCAGCTCCAACCCTGAAAAAAAAAAACTCACCTGCCTATAGCCTTAGTAATCCTGAAGACATTGATTAGCTTGTTCAGGTGTGTCTGATTAGGGTTGGAGCTGAACTCTGCAGGACTGCGGCTCTCTAGGACCGAACTTGCCTACCCCTGGTCTAAACTAATAATGTCATTTTGAAAATGGCACTGTTAACAGTATATAGTGCTTTTCACAATACTTTATTTAAAACAGCTTTACAGAAAATCATTGGATGTATGTAAAAAAGGTCACTGTTTCACTCAAAGCGTAAAATTCGTACATGACTCAAAAACACACAAAATCATACTTAACAAAAAAAAGTTTTGAAATTGTGATTTTTGTTCCTCATATTTCAATTGCAGGGGTGTAATCTAAGGAATTTTCTACATTTGTCATAAAGGCTGCATTTATTTGGTGAAAAATACAGTGAAAACCGCAATAATGAAGTATGAAAATTTAAAATAACTGTTTTGTATTTTAATACATTAATAAAACATAATTTATTCCTGTGAAGGAAAACCTGAATTGTCAGCATTGTTGCTTCAGTCTTCTGTGTCAAATAATCCTTCAGAAATCATTATAATAGGCTGATTTGGAGCTCAAGTAACATTTCTTATTCGTATTTTCAGTGTTGAAAACCATTATACAGCCTAATATTTTTGTGGAAACTGTGATACTTTTCCCCCCCAGGATTCTTCAGGATGAATAGAAAGTTCAAAAGACCAGCATTTATTTGAAACATACATTTTTGTAACATTATAAATGTGTTATTGTCACTTTTGATTAATTTAACTGATCCTAGATGAATAAAAATATTAATATTTAAAAAATATATATACATTACTAAACGGTCTGAAATCTTTAAACGGTACTGTATTTATTTTTCATTTTTACTTGGTACCTGCATCATCATTTCCCATTCCTCGCCTGATGTCTCACACTTTGATAACCACTGCTTTATTGAGATTAATATTCATAATCACAGAAAAACAACAACATTGCTGTGCATCAGTGCCTTTAAACTATACCTGGGAGAAATCCCAAGCTAGACAAACCCTGACGCATAATGCATACCATGATATATTAAACACCTGGTCCACCATCTGCTTCTGTACGATACCCTCACACTATGGAGGCAAGTTCACATCGAATGTCATAGCAACAGTGCAGATGGTCACAATGTTACGCCCCTACCTTTAAGAAATCTTTACAACAAAATAATTACCCAAGAACACATAGTTTCTGATCTTTCTTTAGCTACAGCATCTAGCATATGTGGAACAGACGGGATACTGACCTTCTAGAGAGCAACCAAACACTTCAAACAATGTTCGACAACAATATTCTCGATGTATGGCAGCATATGCTATGCATAAGACAAATTTCACAGAGGTCTCGGTCGGCTAGGCCCCGTCCCGAGCAGATGCTGAGGGGTGAAGTGTGGTGTGGAAAGGTAAAGATAGCACTCACCGGTTCTTTAGCTTTCTGCGCTAACACTGCAAAGGTGGACAGCTTGCTGCACAGACATTTGGTGTGGGAGACTGTCGGCGATGGGAGCGTTTGGCAGCTCTCTGCGTCCCAGTTTTCTTCGCCAGCCTCTCTGTTGATAGGGTATAGTGACAACACACACAAACACACACACAGAAAAAAAGAATGAATTAATTGGGTCACTGCATGAGAGAGAACAGGAGAGACTATAGTGAGTTGTACGGTGCCATGAGAACTAGTCAATGACAACCCCACTCCAAACGTTCTCAGCCACAACGGCCCTCAAGTCCACTGGCCTTGCTTTTATAATGGGCCATCTAGTCTTTCTGCAAATATATGCTTGTCATAAACACTTTCAGGGTCTCATGGTTGTCATACGTACCTTCCATCATTCTCTTATTCAAAGTGTTCTCAATATGTCCTCAAAATGTCTAGCAGAAGCACTCCAATTCCCATTGCTTACCTTTTACACGTTATTTCTGAACTATAATTATATATCATGTGATTGTTAAATCCTTCTTTCATTTATACATTAACAAGTCATCTTTAATTTAGAGTATGCCTATATTTACACCACCATCCAAAGGCTTGGGGTCAGTGTGTGATTACTTTTAATAAGGAAGGAGACATAAAATTGATCAAGAGTGACGGTAAATACATTTATAATGTTATAAAAGATTCCTATTTCAAATAAATGCTGTTCTATTCATCAAAGAATCCTAAATAAAATGTATCAAAACTATTAAGCAGCACAACTGTTTTTTCAGCATTGATAATAATAAGACATGTTTTTTAAACATGAAATCAACATATTTGAACGATTTCTGAAGAATCATCTGACACTGAAGACTGGAGTAATGGCTGCTAAAATTCAACTTCTCCAACACTAAACCAAATTACATTTCAAAATATATTACAATAGAAAACAGCTATTTTAAATTGTAATAATATTTTACAATGTTTTTACTGTATTTCTCATAAAATAAATGCATACTTCTTTCAAAAACATTTAATAATTTTACCCACCCCAAACATTTAAACGGTAGTGTATATATACGCATATTTACATCATCTGTTTCAAATGCTTTATTTTATTTTATTTATTTATTTTGTACGTACAAGCTGCCAATGTGACCCTGTGAACTTAACATACTCCCACATATGCACATCTTGAGTTTAGGGAAGAAATAATGGGAATGGAGGAGGGGGAGTTTTAAAACATTTGTTAAATGTAAACTGTAAAGCTTCATGTTGATCCTCAGATTAAACTCACTGCTGAGGCCAGATGGTCGGACTAAGAAGAACTTCTAATTATGGATTCAGCAAATAGCGTACAACAAAAAGCACAACTGATTAAATATGTGTAACATTCTGTTTCCACAACTGAAAATTCAAGTTCAAAGCCTAGTCAAGTCAGATAAGGCTGTACATAACCGGTGAAGTGTTGGGTCATTTTTCCAGCAGTAAGGGTAATGCTGTGCTCTTTGCTAGTAACCAAAAAATGGTCTATGAATCATCACCATTGTGCCCTTGAGCAAGACACCTACTTAAGTCAACATGAAATCAAAATTCAGAAATTTCTTGTGAGCAATTCATCACTTCATGTTACTCCACAGGAGAAAACACTTTAGCAAATGGCAATTCGTCATGTTGACTTTACAAAGTTACAATGAATGAATCTTTCAAGTGAACAATGAATAAGTGAATTTCATCTACTTCCAAGCAATGATTTGTATTGTAAGCAGTAATAGTCTTTTCAGTCCACTGAGGTCTTTCTTTTGTATTTGACCCCTTTAGAGACTTTCAAATTCTGACTATAGTATATCCAAATAGCCTTACTGAATCTAAATGAGCTTGGCTGGGACAATACCATTTATATATCAATACACATTGATGTTGCAAATACATCTGAAAGATACATGAGGACACAGAGTGAGCTGCTGGAGGAAAGGTGCACAATCCAAATGGTCCAGCAGCCTGCCAGATGTGCGTACTGTATAATTTGAGGCCAGTTTTCCTCAGCGCATAATTTACATTTTTACGGTTGTATCCTTATTTGTAAATTCACATGAGTATTACTATTTTGCACAAAGTGTATCTGTTAAACTTCACAGACTTCAATGAACGAGCACAAATGTGCATTTGTACATTAAACAGACAGAGCACAGTAGAATGGATAGTGCAATAATTATTGAAATGCTATATATTTGACTAAAAATGGTTTGCATCCAAAAGTGGAAGCTCTTAAAATCTCTATAAACTACAATACAAATATATACTTTTTGAAGTTAAAGACAAAGCCATAGTGTCTTCAGTAACCAGGAAGATGAATAAAGAAAAAAGAAACTATTTGTTTTTTTCTCCCCGCTGTACTGAAAACATACCAGTACCGTGTAACATTACATTCCTAGTAAACATAGAAGAGGTGCTACATTATTAAAATGAATTTATTTTTATCCTGGTACTTTTATTTCATGGAGTAAAAGAAGCAGGTATATTATTATGAATATCTTAAATTATGAGTTTATGAGTCTGTAAAGTCTACTCAAGCGGCAAAAATAGAGATAAATCCCAACGTCAACTTATAATTACAAGAATAAATAAATTAGGACATGAATTCCTGATATTAATTAAAAAAGGTCTGTATACATAAATAGTTCTTTCTTTTAATTATTAATGACTACATTGATTACTATTTTATGTTCCCTCAAGGTCAAAATTGTTTAATCAAACATTTTAGGGCAAATTCACTAAATAGTTGCATCACTTTTGTGTGCAATATTTCTGTTTAAAACTCTGCATCTTATTTACTAACAAGCCAGATTTCAGTTTAAGTCAATGTCATTTTTTTCAGTGCAAACTTTCTATGCAAATGAGGCTTGATATAGATTGAGCTATATTCACTTTTAATTTGCCTGGCACAAATGACACTATGCTATTACCGCCTGTGGTATTTTGTTTAAAAGAGGTGTTTGTGTAGATTTTCAAGCCGTCAAGCCAGCAGTGATTTATCAAATGATGATCAAATGATGGAGAGGCACGTTATAATCAGGCATTTATACAGGCTTGTGATTTAGATTGCAATTTCAATAGTTTAAAGTGTCAATTCAGGCTTCTGGATCACAGTGCAGTGATGCTGGACAGGTCTAGTAAAGTATGCCAGATTGCAGTAGTCTGCTGCATGCTTCACAGCCTAGTCTCACAACTGCATGATGGGAACTGCACCATGCAAATTGCATTGGGCTTAGGCTAATCAATAACAAAACAATTCTATAATTGTGAGCAATTCATTCCTAGTGCAAGAGTTTTGTGAAATATCAGCGAAACCTACGCAGAAGCAATACAAAAGCACATCTGCATTGTTTACCTTTTCATCTCTCTCTCTCTCATAAACATGCATCATTCTTTTCTTCAACACATATGCTCCCACAGCTAGAGCTCAATAAATAAAAACCTACCTAATGCAATGTAAGTGCAATCTTTCTCTTGCCTTGATCTGCAGATTGACACTTCAGAGGCAACTGATCTGAGGCAACTCCCATTCAAAGTCTCTCTGACGCCAACAGAAACAAAGATGAGCCGACCGACACGTCAATGGAATTCTGGGTATTTCTAGTTGGGCTAGGATCAAGCACGGAGCATCAGGTGCAAACCTCCCGGGGATATTAATCAACAGCAGGTGAACAGGAGCAGGTGAGATAAGAGATACGGGGCTTTGTGAAAGATCATCTAAAACATTGTTTGGCAGGCGAGACAGATACTTTGCTTAGATCAGAAAACATCCAATTACTGAGCTCTCAGAATGAGACAGGTACGCTTTCCGGACAACATCATTTACCGCCCTTCGGGACATTATCTTTTATGCAAGATTATACCTGCTGGAAAGATGTTGTTTTGAATGCTGGTTGCCAGTATGGGATGGCTTTTTAATTTAATTTAAAGTACCATGTAAATCCCATACTATATAAATATGTTAACCATTCAGTGCCATGGGGAAACATATATGTAAATTACTAAAAGTTTTTGTGTCAAAAATCCACACAAATGCCATATCAACAAATATCAATATCAAAATCAAATATAAATAAAAATAATATCTGCTATAAATAAAAAATTATGAATGAATGAATGAATGAATGAATGTTCAGTCTGGCAAATGGTCATGTTACAAATGATATGAAAAAAAAATAAGCATGTTCATATAAGAGGTCAATCTGTATTTAATAAACTCAACCTTTCTTTGAAACTAATGTTCAAAGTTTTAAAGACTTCAAAGATGTGGTCACATTAGAAAATTTTCTGTGAAATTTTGTGGGTAAAAAGGTCCATTGTCTAATGTCGATGTATGAAGCACAGCTCACAGAAGCAATTTTCAAACCAAGTAGCTTTCTGTTGATCAACATGACAAATTTGCACAACCAACTTGAACTTGATGCAAAACCTATTTGGGGAAATCTTTCGTCCTCACATTAAATTGCAGATCACATGGAATCATATTGAAATGACTGGATTTCACCCATGAACATTTACCAAACAGCGGTGAATGTGACAGCACCGTAAGGTTTGTGTCTGCACATACTGTATATTTTAAAAATAAACCAGCACTGAGAATTATACTGTAAAAGGTGGGACTAGCCCCAGTCGCCCTTATATCAACATACCACGGGGCTTTAGACTCTAAGATCATCAATGAACCACAACTTCACCAAAAAGATCATGCAGGTACCATGAACCAAATTTCAGCAGGGCTAATTCCAGAAAAAAAACAAAACAAAAAAAAACTTTTGCATATGTCCAACACAATTCTATTCACAATTAAACTCCCACCCAAGCATAACCTCCATAGCCATTCCTATGCTTCAAATAGCATCGGAAAAAGCACATGGGCACACTGTGTACATACCCTCCCTCTTTACACTATTAGCCAGCATGGTAAACAAACTCTGTGAACCTTTTCATTTCTCCCTATGGTTTGAGGTTTTTCTCTCAGTAGCTCAGTAGGCATTTTCACTCTTACGCTGCCACTCTGTCGTACACACAAAAGCAAATATACATGCTAAAAGCAAGGGCAAACAGGGTAACATATGGAGAATGAAATGCCACAGCAGTCAT